GATTCAAGGGGCTGAATGACCTACTCCTGTTCCTATGTTCCTCTGTCCCTGTGACAGCTAATGGATTGGGTCTGCCGTATTATCCCTTCTTACCTCTGCCAGTGAAATGAACAATCCCCAGGTGTCTCAAAGTGGAAAATCCATGAGCTGTCATAAAATCCATTTCATCAGATGAAACGTGCAAAATTATTCATATAAATAGCACTGGAATGACATTTATGTATTCTGTAATGTTGCAAATATTTTCTGATTGCCTATTCTTGTAATAACATTAATAAGCTTACATTTTAATTTTAAACTGCCATCATTTCACGTGTTATAACAACACCTCCTGCTCCTGCATTCAGGAATTTACCCTTTCCCAACAAAAATTGGCATCCCCATGAGAGATGCAGGAAATATATTCACAGTTCTTACCTCAAGTTTATTAATAAATATTACGGTAGGAATAATGGCCTGAGACCTGAGCTTCAGTAACTCTGCTGATCATAGTTACCCTATGACAGAGCTATTGCCATTGGTAAGTACTTTCTGGCTTCTATTATCTAACCAATCATTATCAGTTTACATCTTGCTTCTTTAGTTCCTGAGTTCTACACTGATTTCTAACATGGGATCTCATCAAAAGTTTTCTAAAGTCAAGGTGTACAAGACCAATTATATTACCATTATTGTTTAACACTTTTACATTCTCAAAGATTTCCAAGAAACTTGCTTGGCATATTCTACCTCCATACTGCAATGCCTTGAATTTATGAGCATAACTCTAATTAAACCTGAAATATTTTCATTCCGTAATAACATAATTGTAACGCACATTTTAGATATCAGGCAAACAGGGGTATAATGGTCCTCACCTTTTCAAATCCGAAATAACAAGTTTGTTTTCAGCCTTCTGCTGCTGACCGTATTCAACAAGCCATGAAAGATATGCCCAAGGCTCTTTGTTTTTTTAAACTTAATTCTTTCAAAGTACTCCTGAATGAATATTTGGGCTGTTGAATATCCATCTCTTAAAGCATAATTACCTTATTGTATCTAAAGGTACTCAAGCTATTCAAATCAGCCTTTCTTCTCATCCACTGGAGTCAATGTCTTCTAAGCATTTCTTGGAGGTTAACCACCTAAAATTATTGGGACAACTTCAGGAGTCTAGATTCAGAACTTTTCAAAGGAACACATGAGCTATCATTCTTCCATGTACTTTTATTTGTATACATGACTTCATGGAGTATATAGAACATAGAACGGTAGAGCACAGTACAGGCCTTTCAGCCCACGATGTTGTGCTGACTTATAATCCTACTAAGATCAAACTACCCTGCATACCCTACTTTATACTATCATCCATGTGTATGACAATGACAACTTATACTAACATAGTTCAGTGGAATAAAATTATCCAAACATGTCAGAGCAGCATTATAATGCAACACTAAACTCTGTGTCCAATGGGAAGCTATTATTTTGGATGACCAAAAAACATGGCCAAGGAAGCAGGTTATTACTATGGTCTCAGCTGAGTCGAGCAACTTATTTTTTTTAAGAAAAAATGTGAAATCCCGGTTATTCACTGAAAGACTCCTGCCACAAAATTCCACGCTCTGAAGCATTTATTTCTAACTATACAAGAGTCAATCAAAACAATCATGAAATATTTTGTTGGTTAACCACCTATACTCTCAAGCTAAGCATCAATGTAACTTAATCATGAATTAACTGGCAAGTTGTGATTGATTATTAACCATAACTTTGACACTGAATGGCAAATACAACTAAGACAGACCTCACAACTTAGTTCTGATGAAGGGTCTAGGCCCGAAACGTCAGCCTTTCTGCTCCTATGATGCTGCTTGGCCTGCTGTGTTCATTCAGCCCTGCACCTTGTTGTCTCACAACTTAGTTTGGCAGTCAACCAAAATATATGTTATCAATCTCAGTCACAAAGTCCTTCATAGCTATGTCTCCTTTGAAATGAATTTCAGTTTCTCACTCTTGAGGACTTAGCCTCACCTCCAACAGACTATATTACAGGAGTAGCCTGAATTTCACAGGCACCATGTTCACAAATGACACATGTCAGCTGAACCTCAGCAACTCTGTTCAGGTTGGTCCACTTGGTATGATCTACCTATGTTATCTTAAAGGAGCAGAAACGGCTGCAGCAACTGTGTATTTGCCTATTCTAAGCTTATGAATTTAACCTCTGTATTCTTCAGGATGCTTGTACTGCAATGTTGGGCTCATTCTCATCATCTCAGCTTTGATGGCCCTGTGTCTTTTTTATACGGTCTCAGCCATTGCCATCACCCTAGCTTTGGTTTCCAACTTCAGCTTCACTCATTGCTGAATGGAGAAAAATAAAACAAACTGCAGAAAGCTGCTATACAAAGGGACTTGAGTGTGCTTGTACACAGGTTCAGCAGGTAATCAGGAAGAATAATTGATTGTTGGCTCTTATTTCAAGGGAGTTAGAGTTTAAGAGTAGGGAAGCCTTACAGCAACTATGCAAGCTACTAGCGAGACCACATCTCGAGTAATGTTAGCAATTTTGGTCTCCTAATTTAAGGAAAAATATTGTTTCATTGAAGGCAGTTCAGAGAAGGTTCACTAGGATGAACCCTGGTATGGAGGGATTGTGTTAAGAGAAAAGCCTAATTAGTTTGGTAATCTACTCACTGGAGTCTAGAAGAATATATTAAAGAGCTTGGAGCGAGTCAGTTGAAGGAACAGCCACCAATGACAGATCAATTAAAATTGAGGATGTACTGAGATAAGTCCACCAATAAATTAAAAAAACAGAAATATTTTGACAATTGGTATATTGTGTACAGTTCTAGGCGCCACATCATAAGAAGGATGGTAACACATTGGAAAGAGAGTTGCAAAATCAGTAAGCAGGAATGGTTCCAGGAATAAGGAACTTCAGTTGTAATGATAGATTGAAGAAGTTGGGACTGTTTTCCTTGAAGGGAGGAAGGCTAAGAGATGAACTAATAGGTGTTTTCAAAATCACGAGCAGGTGGATAAAGTAGAGAGGGAGAAACTGTTCCCACTCATGAAGGAAGCAGGAAAAGGAGGGTATAGATTGAAAACGACCTGCAGCAGAAGCAAGGATAAAGTGATGGAGAACATATTCACTCAGTGAGTATTTAGAGTGAGGAATGTGCTGCTTGGATGTCTGGTGGCGGCAGCTTCAACTGAGGCATTCAAGAAGGCAGCAGATGATTGCATGGATAAAAATAACGTGCAAATGTCTGGGAAAAATGTCAGGAGGTTGGTATTAGGTGCTGATGCTCATTTAACAAACACAATGTTGTCTTTCTGCAGCATAACAATTCTGTATTACACAGAAATCTAATGTCGATTGGATCACCTGGTGTATAAGTACAGAATGTAGTCCTCTGTCTGGACGCCTTCTCTCTAAACTAGTACACAACGTTTTTATGCGTTGTAGCTGAATATTGAACATCCCAATTAAAATAAATCACAGCAGCTACAGGACAGTATTCTGGTTTTAATAATTCACACTAGTCTTTGAGCTGTACAAGCAATATCAAACTAAATCAACTCTCTACCATTAATTATCTAACTTCAGAAAAGTGGTATAATTAGACTTTGCATTCTAAAAGAGCCATGACTTGATGAATTATTAAGCATCCTCTTCCTTCAGTGACTTAAATGCCAGAATCTGTTCACAGGGCTAACTCAGTCATGTGATTTTCTTATTACAGATGCATAAGTAATAATGCCATCATGGTTCTCTGAACTAGCACAGCCACGTAGTAGTGGAGCTGTTCAAAGCATTATCTCACAACTCTTCAAACTTAAAAAGGATTATGTGTTTCCAATATTTCTCTATACAGTCACTATGTACTAGTAGAGCTCATAAAAGTGTATTTTTTAAAAAAATTACATTCATGAGATGAGGGTGTCGCTTGCTATGCCAATATTTATTGTCTATCAGGCAGCTAAGACTCAACCACATTGCTGTCGATCTGGAGTCACATGTCAGCCAGACCAGGTAAGAATGGCAGCTTCATTCCCAAAAGGACATCACTGAACTAGATGGGTTTTTTCCCCAACAATCAACAAGGGTTTCATGGTCATCATTAGACACTTAATTCTAGATTTTTATTGGATTCAAAATTCACCGCTTGCCATGGCAGGATTTGAACACAGGTCCCCAGAACATCATCTGCGTCTCTAGAATAATCATCTAGCGATAATAACACCAGGCTACTGCCTCCCCATTATAAATGTCAGAAAACTCTAACTTGTCTCCATTCTACATGCAATGGATGATTATTCTCATTTGAAGAGTTGTCTCCACATTAAGCATCAAGACTAGGGATTTAACCTGGGCTCTTTCTTGTCTGTGAGGTTTAGAGATCGTGGTTTTTCCTCTGAACCTTCATGACAGTCTCCTTTTGTGTCTTTTTCCACCATATGTAGCACGGCTACAGGATGCAAGCAGCTAAAGGCAGCTGTCACAATGATAAATGTCTTGCCAAGGCAATTTTGGCTGTTGCTGAAAGCACAAAGACTGTGGGATTGAGTTTTTGGGTACAAAGTGGTAAAATATGAGCCTATCTACAATTTAATCATAGCCTAGATCAACAAGTCTGGATCAACAGGTATTGGTTAATTCTACTTCTGAAGTTCAGATCACAAAGAACTCGTGGCAAGCTGCCTAAGAGAAATTTTGATTGCCTTAAAGAGAAAAGGACCAAAGGAAAAACACGGACTTGTATTTTTCTGGTATCTTTCACAAGCTCATTACATCACAAAGCATAAATTCTATGCATGTAATTACTTTGAATGCACTGAATCATATATTCCACTAACTATATTCACTGACTATATCCAAAATTATTACATAGCCATAACATTTAGTATCTGGAATTTGCATAGTGTTGATATTATTTACATAGCCACAGAGTTACTCCTATGTAATCAAATACTATTTTATGAGTGAACTATTTAATGTTGTGTATTACCTGAATATAGATGTCTTGCCCTTCTCGATCGATCTTGACACTGTGAACGTGGCCATTTGCCCAGTTTCTGGTATCAATGCTCAAGAAAACAGGATCATTATCGCCGTCCAGTTTGTATCTTATTTGAAAACTCCCTGGAAGGAAAGAGTTGATCGATTTCAATTGGAGAGATATAAACTGGTTAAGAGGATAAACATAGGTCAAAATCCAAATATCGTATGTGTATTTGCATTCAGAAAAATATCGTTATGTAAAAAAAACACATTCAAGTATAAAAATGGCCTAATCAGCCTTCTCCCTAAAGAGAAAAATCTATTATCTCTAATGCTGTAAGTTAGTTTTTTTTTGTATTTGTCATTTATTTTCATTTGTGATCTTCATGTGCTTATATTTTCTATACAAATGATACTTCACACTAATAACCTACCATTCAATATACAGGTAATGGAAAGTAAGATGCTCAACTAGCTCAACACATTTATTATGCTGTGGAGTATAACCTAGTGAAATTGTATCTACCTCTTTAAAATACAGGACTCAATAAAATATCCACTTCTCATATGTCTCATGAAGACAAAAGTAGGATCATTGGGGGTGTCTCAAGACAGAATGATACTTTCAACATTTTTAAATACTTGTAAGTTTGAAATGATTGAAAATGATGGAAAATAGAACAGCACAGAAATCCCAATGTCTTCCAGGTTTGGGTGCTGCAAGTTTAATAAGAAGTATCTAAATCACACTGTTTGAGTGTTTGTCCTCCTTTTTGGAAACAGCACACAAATGCAATGTTGCAAAATGGACTTTTAATTACTTGTGCACCATTTCTCCCTGTCTCATCCCATCATGGAATGTGCATGTATATAGCTAATAATAGTATCTTACACAGTTCAGCAAGGATGTGATTGAGAGTTGGACTATGTTACAAAAGGGACATTTTCAAAACTGTTTTTGCTGGAGCAGACTTGCTGGAAAAGTGTGTTTTATGATCAATCTGCCAATCAGCTCACACAGAGGATGTGAACTCAAGTCAAGTCACCATTGGGCTGCTCTCATCATAGAGATGACTGATGGGAGTTTAACTGGAGGGCCACCATGCCTCAGGTGAGGGGAGAGTTGAGAGGAAAGTCCTTCATGGATAATGCAGCTGGTATGGGATTTGAACACATACTGTTGGCATCACACTGCTTTGCAAACCAGCCATCCAGCTAACTGAGCTGAACTGACCCCCTATGGAATCTCAATGAACTACAAAATTTCAGAAACTGCTGGCCAATTTACACTATTCAGACACTTCCCTTACACAAATGACACCTCACTCTTCACTTTCCCTTGAGCTTTCCGATTTTGTATGTTAATTGTCCATGAAACCAGTATAGAATATTACAGGTCACAATTAATATGGCAAATACCCTGCTAATTATGTGATAACTGCTCTTGCAATACCAAAAAATCTCTCCTTAATATAGAGACTTGACAATTTAAGCTGTTAAATTTCATTCCTACAAGGAGTAAATTATTCTTAAAGAGCTTAAATAATTAAATAGCCATATGTAAATCATTAAATGGCTGTAGATTAGTTAGATGTTTGATTAAAAAACTGAGTAGGTTATAGAGGACAGGTAAGAAAGTGGAGTTAAGACTGCAATCAGCCTATTTTTACTCCTATTCCGAATCAGCAACAAATTTACGTCTATTTTTAAATTACATTTACAGGGGTTCAAATTCTTCACACCGTTAGGAAGAATGCTTACGATTGAAATACGTGCCAAGCAGAAACTAGATTGGCAGCAGTACTAACACATCAACACGGCAATGATGTAACATCCAGGAATGCAACCAACCTGACAATATAACATTCAGCTGTGAAATACACATCAGCCAAACATCCTGTGAGGCAGCTGGTGACACCACTCGCTGTCAACAACTTAACATAAGAAGTGTTGAATAAAATTAAGTAGAAGCAAGCTATTTGGCATTTGAATTGCTTTGAGTACAGATGGACCAAGAAGTATGCCTTAAGGCTAAGTAAAAGTCAGCAACACCTGAAGTAACTCAATGTATTGAAACATTATTTGGTGGTTTGGAAATATAAGGTTTCAATTAAATTTGTTTTAAAGAATTTGATAACTTATTCTTTCTTCTCTAGGATTAAAAACCTATCACATGTCTAATACTCGGGGGCATGCATTTAAGGTGAGAGAGGGAATGTTCAAAGGAGACGTGAGAGGTCTGTTTTTTAGACAGAGAGAGGTAGGGGTGTGGTGTGGAACGTGATGCCAGGGGTGGTGGTGGAGGCAGTCATAATAAGGGCACTTTTAGATAAGCACAACAATGTGCAAGGAATGGAGGGATATGGATGGAGGGATATGGACCAAGGGCAAGCAGAAGGCATTAGTTTAACTTTGGCATCATGTTCTGCACAACATAGTGTCAGAAGGGCCTGTTCCTGTGCTGTACTGTTCTATGTTCCATGTATTGGGATTAAATCCTGATGTTTTTGGACCTGAGAAGTATGATTTTAATAACACAGAACTTTACAATACTCATTTCATCCTATCCATAATATAGAGTAGAAATGAAATAATTGGGAAGATGTGGCACCAAACTGTCAGGCCATTTTTAGCATATCAATATTATGATGGAAAGCAGATATTGCATCAATCACACAGAAGCAAGGAAAGAGTTAGAGACAAGGATGCAGACAGTAGTATAACTGGAAATCATACAGAATCAACAGTGGTTAAATGTTAGCATTTACACCTCTGAGTCAGAGAATTGTAGATTTAAGTACCAGTGAGTACAAAATTTAAGCTAACACTTCAATTGTGGTGATACAAATAAGAAGAAAACAATGGGTCCTGGAAAACTCACAGAAAAAGAAAAAGGAAAAAAAAAACCTCAGCAGATCAGGCAGCATCTGTGGAAAAAGAATAAATGTCTCAGGCCATTGATCTTCCATCACAGAGAAAGACAGAAGTGAAAGACTTTTTTTAGGCCAGTGAAAGATGGGAGGGTGCAGGAAGAACAAAGAAGAAGGTTTTGCTGATAAAAAGAAACATTTTTGAAGCTTTTTATCTTGCCCTCATCATGACAATTCATGATGACACCAATATAAATGGGAATGTGTTTACATTGTACCAGAAGGGAGAGAGAACATAAGACTATAAAACTCTAAGATACAGGAGCAGGAGTAGGCCATTGAACTAAACGATTCTGCTCCATCATTCAAAGAGATCATGGCTAACCTAATAATCCTTAACTCCATGTTATTGCCTTTTCTCTATCACTCTTGATTCCATGAACGCTTATAAATTTGTCTATCTCATCAATGAATACATTTAACACCCCAGTCTTGAAGGCCCTCTGTAGTATTTCTGGATTGTGTTGGAGCATGTTTCCTGCAGCAGATGTGTCCAGTCCATTAGGACCTTAGAACATTGCTGGACCTGGTCCTTGAAATTGAGGTCAGCCAACTGGATTAAGTGTCAGTGGGGAATTATTTAGGAGACAGTGTCATTATATGAAGGATATTATCAAGCTGGAGAGGGTTCAGAAGAGGTATACCAGCAGGATGTTGCTGGGTATGGAAGGTTTGAGTTATAAGGAAAAGCTGGATAGGCTGGGACTTTTTTTCCCCACTGGAATGTAGGAGGTTGAGAGCTGACCTGATAAAAGTTTATAAAATAATGAGAAATATAGATAAAGTTAATAGATCTTTCTCTAAGATGGGGAGTTTCAAGACGAGGGGACACATTTTTAAGGTGAGTGGAGAAAGATTTTAAAAAGACATAAGGAGTAAATTTCTTACACATAGGGTGTTTTGCATTTGGAATGAACTTCCTGATGAAGTGGTGGATGTGGGTACAATTGCAACGCTTAAAAGATATTTTGATGTATGAATAGGAAAGGTTTGTAGGGATATGGGCCAAAAGCAGGCTGATGGGACTAGTTTAGTTTGGGATTATGATCGTCATGAAGTGGTTGAAACGAAAGGTCCCCTTCCATGCTGCATGACTCTATGACTCTATGTGTTTCACTTTGGCACTGGAGAATATGATGCATCAATCAACTGGTAGAGAGCTGACTTCAATGGGGCTAGAACAGAGTGGGGTACTATTGATTGGAAGATCAGTAACTGAACAATGGGCCACCTTCAAAGATCAGATGGTTTGGGTACTTTGAGGCATATCTCCCCTTATGCAAAAAGCACAACAAATCCAGAGTTCCTTGGATAACAAGGAAGGTAGAAATTAAAACTTGAAAGGAAAGGTGTGCTTATGAGGGTGTAAGGCAGGAATACAATTGAGAGTTAAAAGAAATACCAAAGGCTTATGGGGAAGTGAAAAAGTAAATAAGAAAAGCAAAGAGGAATTATGAGAAAGGATTAGCAGGAAATATGAAGGGAAACACCAAATTCTTCTCAACAGTAAGACAGTGATTAAAGGATGAGTAGGGCCGATCAGAGACCAAGAAGAGGATTTACAGACAGTAGCAGGGGACAGAGCTGAGTTATTTAAGGAATACTTTGCATCTGTCTTTACAAAAAAGAGGAGAATGCTGCTCAGGTCATGCTGTCAGAGAAAGGAACTTTGTCACAAGAGAAGATCAAAATTAATCATTGTTGGCTCTTCAAATTAACAAGGGACTGTGGACTGGATGAGATGCATTGAAAGCTTTTGAAGGAAGTGAGGAAATGCAGAGCCATAATTTTTCATTCTTCCTTGGATTCTGGAGGGAGGGGTGGTGTGTGCCAAAAGACCAGCACCTTGCTTAAAAAAGGTTGTAAAGATTATCTAAGCAATTATAGAGCAATTAGTTTAACTCTGTTAAAGGGGGAACATTTTGGAAACAATAATTTGGGATAGAATCAGTTGTGACATGGAAAAAGGTGGAATGATTAGGTTGAGTCGGCATGGATTTCTAAAGGAGAAACCATGTTTACCTAAATTGTTGGCATTTTTTGACATAGTAATGGAAAGGATTGATGAAGATAAGGCTTTCTGACCTGGTATACATGGATTTCCAGAAGGAGTTTGATACAGTGCCTCACAACAGACTTGTGAGGAAAGTTGTGCATCATGATACAAGTGGGACAGTGGCAATATGTGTACAAAATTGGCCAAGTGATAGA